GGGGAGGGGGGAGCAAGCGCACGAGGATGATGCGGCCCAGGTAACAGCACTCCAGGCAACCTGACGACTCCATTCTAAGGTCAATTAATCGCTCATCGAGTGACGACATCCCATCGCGCCCTCCTCCTCCTCCTTCCCCTGCTTCGAGCCCCAATGGGTTTCGGCTCCACCGCACGTTGATGAGCCCCACCGCGACGTGTGCGAGTGTGTGCGAGAGAGGGAGAGGCTGGGAGAGAGGGAGCGCGAGGGAGAGCGGGTAGGGGAGGGCCGCGCAAGTTGCGCTGGGCTGCCATGGGAGCCACTAGCGACGCGCCCTTCGCTTCGGAATGATGATGAATGAGAATAATCACGGCGCATCACGTCCCATGAGGCGTCCCGCGCCGCTTCCTACCTGGGGGCGGCGGGGACCGGCGGGGACCAACGGGGACCAACGGGGACAAGATTAATATAACGAGAGTGACGGTGGAACCCGGGGATTGTAGCATTTATTTTGTGCAATTGGACATACCACGAATTTTATCTGCGCGCTCCCCGCACGCACTGGGGAAGAAAAAGGTGGTTAATATTTATCTTCTTTTAATTAATGCGTTTGTAAATATACTAAGGCGCTAATCCTTGGACACCAAGGCACTTCTTAACACCTTTGTTTTGAAGTGCTCACACTGTTTTATGGTGGTCCCTAGGGGGCCTAACTCACATGGCGGGCAGAACCTCCAGCTGTACCCGGCTGTACCGCGCGGTTCGATTGTGGGCTTCCAGAAATAGACACTTAGCAAGTGTTCGTAGTCGCCGAGAACTGCGCGTCTTAAGACAGTAGTGGTACGAATCATCACTTATCGCCCGTGACTCAAATGAGCGCTTTCCTCGTACCGCGCCTGCGATGATGAACACTTGCGCTGCCGTGTCAACAGTGACGCTACCGGGCCCCATATGCCTCCCCCGGGGGTCCTCTCCGCTTCCAGTGCCGGCCGGTACTCGGCCGCCCCCCTGCGGGGCGAGCGCACCGTCGTGCTCTTGAAGAGTATGACCCCCGGGCCGAGCGAGCTCCTGTGGCGGCGCCCCGCGGCCGCGCCAGGGGTCATCGCGGAGCCCCCCGCGGCGACCACGTGTACGGAGCGGACATCACGACGGACCACTGCTGCAGCAGTTCTTTTGTTTGTTCTCTTTTCACCCGCTTTTGGTACGTCACGTTCGTTCATTCGAAGAAGTGAAGGAGTGGTCAGAAAAAAGGTTTCGGTTACAGTCCAATGGAAAAAGCTTATACACAGCTTATGCACAGCATCGGAAAACGGTTCCTTGAAATGCAATTGCCCACTCGTGATTCAAACCAAACCTCGCCGTTCCAAACGGTAGTACGGTAGTGGCGTTTGCGCGCGGGCATGGCGTCTTGCCTGAGAAGCTCGTCCTTCTGTCTGACCAGCTGCTTGTGGTCGCGCGCCTGGTCGCGGCGGACCTGCTTTGTGTGCAGCAGGGGGAATGTCTGCAGCTTGTACACCGCGTAAATAAACTGGTGCGACAGCAATTTGGTGCTCCGGGACGACGACGTCCCTGCTTGAACGGCGCGCACCGCAGAGCGCCACCTTTAACGTTATGAGCGAGCAGCGTGCTGAGTAAACCGCCCCCTTTCTCGTCGAAAGTCGCGATGATGTCGCCATCCTGTCGCGGCCCGACGACGCGGCCAATCGGTATGCGACCGTCGTTGACTTTTTGGGCGACTGTCTAGGGCTGCTCAGCCCGGCTCAGCCCCTTTCGCTGCTCCGCTCGCCCAAATAAGGAGGATGGCGAGAGGGTAATTGGGGCTGGCGAAGGCTGCCGAGCGGCCCGGCCCGCTTGCCACTCATTGCGCGCCAATCGCATAAATAGAAGGGGCTCAGCGGCCGGCCAGATGCGTCGCGGCGGACGGGCGGGCGGGCGGGCCGGGGGCGAGTGGACGCACGGACCGACGGGCCGAGCCGAGCGCCACACTGCTCCAACGTCCAAGCCTTGGTCCAAAGCGTCTCGCCCGCCTTTGGTAGACCCCTGTGACTGGTGCGCTAGAAGAGAGGAGGGTATATTCTGACCCTCCGTTAGTTTCACAATCACCATTAGAATTCATGGGCGTTTCGTGATATTTGTATCCAGGGCTAAAAATATCATGAGCGATCATGAGTATCTACGAACTCCAATGGTGATCCTGAACCCAATAAGCCATAACCCTACGGCGCGTATAGAATCTGAACGGTCTCTGGTAGTCCGTACACAAACTGTCTCTTCTGTTCTCTTTCATTTTAGGGCGCGCACCCTTTTGCTCTCCCCCACCCCCCACCCACCGTCACATCACCGTGCCCCACCTTCTTGTCCTCTCCATTTTGCGTCGCTAGATTGACGTTTGACCCGCGGCGGTTGACCTGCGCGGTTGACCCGCGTGTTGGCGTCACGGGGTGGCGTCGGGCTGCAGCGGCGCGCGCGGCTCTCCTGTCGTATTACGTCGAGTGTTGTCCCCTACACATTCCGGACTGCCCACTGCGCCGCCCGCCGCCGCCCGCTGCGCGCCGAGGAGTTTGTAGTGACACATTGTGTTGTCGGCCTGGAGATGCGTGGCGTGGTCTGTTTTGGTCTGGCACGGCATTGTTCCCATGCGAACCGTATAGTCTCCCGCGAGCTTCTTTTACTATAGTCCAGCTCGGCGAGGCGAGCTGGTAGTGCGTGTCCTGTTTAAAACGCAGCCAGTCGTCACTCAAAAGAAGCATCAAATTGAAATTTGACTGACGAAACAACTGCATTTTTGACCGGGCCCGGTTGTGGGCTTCCCTGCTTGTCTGGCCTGCTTGAGGCTTAACCCGACAGACGGGCGCCTGTTGGGTGGTAGGCAACTTATGGAATAGAGTAAGATTGTTTTTCCAGGTGCGTCGGTGCGTAGTGCGTGTGTCAATCCAACAACCTCGTAGAAAATAATTCGTGATGATGATCTTCGGTGTTGACCAGAGTCTCCGCGGCGAGCTGACACTGTAGACTTAGACTGTAAAACAAATCGTGATGCCCAAATATTTTTACAACCTCATGTCATCGCGGATTTCTTTGTCAGTTTCGTATACCGACAAAGTGGGAGTGACAAACATGTCATGGCTGTAAAAATATCGAACCATGATATCCTCATTTAACCGTCATCTCTCTTTATTACAGTGAGTGCCGGTGACTGTCGTCCGTGTTCGGCTCGATCGGGGTGCATCCATCGGTCTCTTTTGCGGCTCACGGCTCTCCCCTCAGCTCGCCTATCCCGTAAGTTTCCATGGTCCTGGCTCCCCCGCCTCCCGTTCTGAAGCTGGTCCCCCTGGTGTAGACCGTCTGCCTGATGCCGACTCTGTTAGTTCGAACATTGATGGAAAATAAGTAGAGGACTCAATCCATCAATTATATTAGTCAATTTATGCCTCTTTTTACGTATGATAAGTGCCGAGGGCCTTAACGGCTTGCGCAAAGAGACTTAAATTGCATCGTTCATGCATATGCATTTGGTAATGGCTTTCATGTAACTTCACCGTTTACGTCTCGCAAACTATGATGAAAGTCGGTCTAAATGCAAACGACCTTTCCTTTCTCTGATTTAAATAACTCCTTTCCGTCCTTGCGTGCCCAATTTAAGGAAACATGCGAAAATAGGAAAGGCTAAAAAGCCAAGGGGACCGAGTAGTGCTGATCTCTTGGAGTGACGAGCGAGCGGCGACGAGGGCAGAGATGCGCGCAGATGTGTGTGCGCCGTACATGGGCGTGCGGTCGGGCGCCCCAATGTTAAGGTCACGCCCCCCTCCCCCACCTGTTGGCCGCGCTGCGACGGGCATGCGACAGGCTGCCAGCCCTGGCTGTCCGCCCCGACTGTCCGCCCGGACGCCCGGACCCTTTGGCCGTGCCCCGGGCGTGGGCTGCCAGCGCGGGCAGCGCGCCGCCGCCCTCCAGCGCATCCCTCGGGTATAGTTCCTGCCTGAGCGATGCTTATCGAACCGGTTTCGTTTTTACGACCCCGTTAGTTAGGGCCCCTCCCTCCCTCCCTCCCTCTCCACGCGCGTTTGGGTCTTGGCGTTCGCGTCGGGCCAAAGCCGGCCGAAGCTTTGGGTCCAAGTCTCCGCGCCCCGGCGTTTAAAACCAGCTACCGGTCGGTAGTTGCCCGCTTACTCGGCATGCCCTTGGGCGGCTTTTAAAAACTACCCTTCAAATGTTTATTTCAAGGCTGACCTTCTGTGGTTGTTGTTGATGTTGTCGCAGATCGGACACAGCCGAGAAGCGACGCCACCTGAGTGTATATGTGTGTGGAAGGGAGGGGTGGGGGCGCCTTAGAGGGATGCTAGTTCTGCCGCAGTGCTTTTCATGTGGCTGTTGACAAATGACCCGGGCTGGCGGACAGCGGGGGTGTTGGGAAAAGAGGGGGGGGGGGCGTTCGCGTGACTCTAATGCGATGCATTAGTGGGCGCGCTGCTGCGGCCTGGCCCGCTCGCCCACTGGACCACCAGCAGACTGAACGCCTGCCGCGCTCACTGCGCACCTTTTGTTTTGCTACTACGGTTGGGACGATTGCTGATCATGTGACATATTGCAGTTCGTATTGCTATAATCCGATGGTAACGCAAAGCCGCCTGACCAACGCAATATATTACCTGTCATTGACTTAGTTCCGACCCGCGTGACATTGCTTTCTGTCGTGCTTTCGTCAAGACGCACTGCTCACCTTGCGTAGTCCAGCGGTGCGCCGGGCCGTGCTCCATGACCCATATGCTGTGCGAGTCCGCCATAAGCGCTTTCCTTCTGCCGCTGATTCGCCAGCAACCGCCCGCACTGCAAAATGCTTATGAAGTGAAGAACCGGCCCGTATTAATGCAGAGTGTAAAGGGATTTATTGCACAGATGTTCAGATGTTCAGATATGGCAAATTAAAAAATTAAAGCAAACAAAATCGTTTAGGGCATAGACAATTTTCTATTTCAAGAAATGAATCATTGCCGTACGCTACGCTGATGTAACTTCCCCTAGTAACACAAAACTGTCGCACATGGTGTAATATTTTTCAACCGGCCAATTATTGTGATGATAAAAAAAATAAAATCCGAAAGTGATGCCTTTCCACTGTTAGACGATTGCCGCTGGTCTATAAAGTTTAAAGTATCTACCATTCCGTTGTATTTTTATCGATTCCTGGTCGAATCCACAATAGTGGTTTTTCGCTCTCATTGCGATAGCTGGCTGATAAATATTTTCGTTCCGAGAAAAAAAGATGGTGTAGTGGTAGAATCATTTTTCTCATTTCGTATACCGCACCGATAGTCCGTATATTTTTTTTTCTACTGCTGTCCGACAGTCGTACGACAGTTCTGTGCTACTAGGGTCAGCTAGGTAACGTCGGACTCTGATGCCCCGCTGTGTTTACACGGAACCCAAGCCCATATCCCCCGCGCGGTGCTTGGGAGTGATGGGTCCCAGTGGTCTGTTAGTGGGCATAGCGCCGGTATGCCGATGGCTGTAATATACGCCGCTGTTATTGGGTCGAGGAGGCAGCCGAAATGCGCGGGGCGGCGTGCGCGCTGCGCTCGTGATGCAACGGCGGGAATGCGCCGTGCACACACTGCACCACACACTATCTGGTTCTGCTCGCCCGCCCAATTTGAGTTAGTTGAGGTTATTATGATTACCCGTGCCCGGCCCCTCTGCGCGCGCTTGTAAACGAGCGTCGTTAAACAATATCGACGGTTCCGTGACGCCACGAGCTGTAACGGCGAAGGAAATGAGTCTCCAACTATATACGATTGCCATTATTTTCTCTTGTCTTCTCTTAGATTTTACGTGGCCCAACGCGCAGTGATCTGAGGCTGTAACTAATCTCGTTGAGCCCGGCGTCATATTTTTTCAGTCTCATACATTTCAGTCCAGCTCGCCTGAAAGGGTAACACGAAGGTATATTCTGTATAGCCGAGCACTGGTTCGCGTGTGCTCTAAACAAAAGTACACATTGTAAAGATTCATAGCATAGGACTTGTCACAAAATAAACTGGTCGTATAAACCTTCGGGGCGGTCGCGACTGTTTGCTGAGCGAGATATGGGTCGCGTTGTTCGCCACTGTCCAGCCCGCCCAGTCGTGTTTGCGCCCCGGCCGCCCCCGCTGGAGCGCGGCGCCAATCACTGGGCGTGTCAACAGGGAGCGCTAATGGCCCGAGCGCTATCTTTATACCAGAGACGCGGCGCAGGCCCGGCCGTTGACACCTTGTTTTAGTGACCGTCATCAAAGGATAGAGGACTCCATCGAGCGAGCCGTTGGGACGCTTTTCCCCCTCCCTACTCGGTGTCGTTTTTTCCTTTCGATGGTGATGGTCTTCCCGTGGGTGCATTTCCGGCACGACGTGACCACCGACTCGTCCACCAGCAAGCAGCGCCCCCCCCCACCCCCGCGCTTTGACACGAGCTTTCGGGTTCCTTTTGCACATCATGCGTTGGTGCGAGAATGCTGCTGGCGTGCTGAAAAGAAGCGCTCCCCGACGATCTGCCATCGCTCTTATGGGGGAAGGCGGCCGCGCCTTCCTAGGATGTGGACCCCTCCCATGGGAAGACCGTTCCACGAAAATTCCCCCTTTGCGTTGGAGATTTCCTCCGAGGATAATGCGGCGGGATCATCGTGGGCGCGCAAAGGGCGTCTCTGCGCCGCGCAAGGGCCTCCCGAATCTGACGAGGAATCTGTTGATTATCCTGGCGCGTCCCCGCTCCCCGCGCCCGCCCCCTTCCGATCAATAAATATGCCGACCAGGGTCGTCCGGGCGGCCGGTCGGGTCGTTCGGGTAATAACCAAAGGGCTCCTCCCGTCAAGGTGCAAGTGTTGCGTCAGAGGCAAACAGGGCAGCATGGGTTGGGTCTCAAGGACGCGCCATAAGGGATCCTCCCGGAGAAAGTTATGGGGACCGCCTCGGGGGCGGGGGCAGGGTGGTGGCCCCACATAAGGGGCACCTTGCACCGCCACAGCCGCGGCATCCAGGCTCTGCGGCAACCTGCTCCCGGTCCTGGGTCGACTGGGCGTCGTAGATCCACCGCCTATCGGCTTACACATTACAGCGGGAGGCTGGCGAGCCAACGCGGGCCCCGCCCCGCCCGCCACACCTCGCCACACCCTGCCACGCCCCCTTTACCGGCGCTCCGGATGAGATGAACTTCGCCTGACGGTCAAGTGCACGGACGGGACTGCTCGCCTGCCTGGACTTGGCTCGCTCCCAGCCACGCCCCCTTCCCACCCCGCGGCCCCGCGCCTCGCGCCCGCGAGGTAGGCGACCCATTGCACACCCGGGCGGCACCCAATCTCAACCCCGCGCACATTGCATGGCGATGAAGTACCCACGGAAATGAAAAAAGTGCGCGCGCGGTGCTGGCTGGCGGTCGCTGGCTGCCGCTACCTGCCGCTGCTCCGCGGAGCAGCCCTCCCGCTCGCTTGCCATCTCATCTCGACAGACCCACCCCACCCGCCGCTCGGCTCCGCTTCGCAGGGGGAAGCTGACCGTGAAATGCAAGCCGTAAAACTTTATCGCCGAGGTTTGGCTCCCCGCCGCCGCGGTATTGAAGAAGAAGTCCAGCGGCTGCTTCTGCTGCTGTTGCCATTAAATTAGATGTTCCTACGTTTTCCTCCAATTTAGTTATGGCGGTTGTTTCCTAGTGGTAAATGCGCAGCAAGTGTGGAAAATGAGCCACATGGCGCATCTGAAAACAGAAACACCAGAACACAATTACTCGGAACATTTGTTGCAAGAGATTAATATGCATGTCCCTCCTAAAGTGCGACAGTCAGAAGTCCTCGTTAAGGGTGTGAATGAGGATTCGTGTGCGGAGGGGGAAGAGCGTCTGGTTTGTGGGCTCCACACTCGGGGGTGGTGGCTCCGTGGGCCCACCTGGTCCAGGTTCAAGGCCAGGCGTGAGGCCGGAGTAATGAGCCGGCTTGTCATGTTAAATAGGCGTCTAATGCGGCTGGGCGCGCGGCAGGGCGGGGCGTGGCGGGCGCGCCTGGCCCCCATTGTGCCGATACGGCCAATCACCGGAGACCGAATTGAGCCAAACTTTGAGTCACGAGAGGCTGAAAGGGACGGTTTTGTCTTGCCCGCGTGGACCAAAGCTGGGCGTGCTCCATCCCGGGCCCCCATCTCCAGGTGCCCTGCTGTCAATGCCCGGTGGTGTTGCTGTCATCATCGCGACCAAACACGTACCAGACCAAGAAAAGTT